CCCCTCCGTGGGTGTTTTTATTGATTTAAGCCGCCGCAGCTCCGGCGATAAGAGGTGCCGACTCCGGGGCTTACCGGCAAATGGGAAGATAAACGTATCGATTGAGAACTTACACCTCCGTCTTCGGCGTCGTGGGGTTGTTTCCAAACGCAGCCGGCTTCCACATCTGTAGGGAAGCACCTACATGCGGTTGGCACCAGAGAGTTCAGAAGTAACAAGGGGCGAATAATGGAGTTGTAGAATTGTACGTCTACACCGGCGCGTCCCAACCTTGGGTCCCCAGATGCCCTTGGACTACAACTCCCAGAAATCCTGGCCACACAGTGACCCATATTGGGCTTTCCAAGTGATTGAGATGTTTAAGGAGTGGTTTCACCAATTCCATTCCCCCAGGGAGCTTCCATGGCGGAGTGGGGATTCAAACTCAGGTTTCCTGAGTCTTAGTCTGTCACTCTGTCTACTGCACCACACTGGCTATCTGCCAGGATAAGGTACCATCCAGTATTTTTGTATTGGGGAAAGGTGCACAGATGACTAGCAATGTCCATCAGCTTATCCATATTCACTTCCAGAAAGGACAACCACGTTAGAAGACTCCAACTTTTCTACCTCGCACAATGTCCTCCTGGCTAACTTCACGTTTGTTTTCCTCTGAATTGGCCAATTGGTGGCCTTCTGGAGGTTGACGCACTCCCGCTCCCATCAGCCCTGGCCATCATGGCCGACGAAGAGGGTTCATGGGCTTTGTAGTCCAGCAAAGTCTGGGCAACCTCAATCCCTCTGCTTTACTCAACTTTTCCGTTATGTCTCCTTTTTACATAGGAGAAAAAAAGCATTTAGGGAGATCTAAGTGCCAATGAATAATCGAGGGGATTATTATTAATATGAATATTATTTTTAAAATCTAATATTCGGACGCCGTTTCATTGATTTAAAGCTTTCCCTTCTGCTGCTGAAACCACTTTTGGTTCGAGGCAATTAGTACCCTTCCTTCCAGCTAATGCCCCCCAAATGCTATCGATTCGAAAGCAACACTGCGCTGGGGCTCGGAGCCTTGTAAATCACTAATCCGAAAGGCCCTGAAGCTTTATTGAACAGGCTAGGTGAGAAGCAAATTGCTCCCGGGGCAGAGTGAGACCTTCAGGTCGCCAGCTCTCATCGTTAGAAAACGAGGAGTTAGATCGAGAGACAAAAACACCTCTGGGAGCTCTGCTTTCCCTCCGTCTCCGGAGCACGTCCCCGCTTTTCCTAAAAATGGGACATTTTAAAGCCATTAGTTTAAATGATAACTGGATAGATAGATAGCTCAGGGGTTTAAGTCACTGGCCGTGGAGCCAGTGGCTGGCAGTTCCAGAGACGAGTGCCATCCTGGGGAGCCTCGGGCCAGCTGCACAGTCCCAGTTTGTCCTGAAAAGAAGGGAATCGAAAACCACTTCTCGGTATTCTGTACTTGGAAAATCCTGCGAAAAAGGTTGCCTTAAATCAGAATTAACTTGAAGGCATATGGTGATAATTCATGTATCTATCTATATTGATATATATTGATCAATCGCTCGATTGATAGATACGAACGACACACACACAGAGACACACACACTTCAAATGTTTTATCAGCCATCCTTTCACTCAGTTCAAACTCAGAAAGGAAGGTAGAGGGGAGACTCAGAAAAGCACCAAGCTGGTGGCTGTTTCTTAGATTTATTTTTAAAACAGGAGCAGAATGGGATTTATATATGTATTTTTGCTCCTGCTGGCTAGAACAGTAATGCAGTGGTTCACATCTGCTCCGCTTACTCCAGAGAGGTATGCCTCTGATGGTTTGTTTTCTCCTTGGATCGTACTTCGGCATGCGCAGCGTATCTCGTATCTCTGTGTATCGCCAGACGTGTTCGAATGTTTGGTGGCTCCGACTGGGAGGTGTTCCAGGGGTGTGGGACATCAGACCACAGAAGCCTCAGCCAGAAGAGCCAAGGGTCGGGGGGATGCTGGGATCCGTGGTGCAGCAACATCTGGACCAGCCAAATTTGGGAACTGCTGCTCTAAGCTGTCTTTTAACATCATGAACTGCCGGATAGCTCAGTTGATTTAGACATCTGGCTGCAGAGCCACTGGCTGGGAGTTCGATTCCCTGCTGGGCTTCCTGGACAAGAGCTGGACTCCATGATCCGTAGGATTCCTTCCAGCTCTGCAATGCCGAGCTGATGAGGAATCACAGTACAGTGGTGCCTCGCTAGGCAGTTACCCCGCATGACAGTTTTTTCACTAGACATTGACTTTTTGCAATCGCTATAGCAATTCACAAAACAGTGATTCCTATGGGGGAATTTTGCTGGAATGTTTGGTCCCTGCTTTGCGAACTGATTTTCGCTAGATGACGATTTTGACAGCTCCCTCCGTGCTCGCAAAACGGGTGTTTTCGGGAGCTAAGCTTCACAAGACAGCGATTTAAACAGCTAATCGGCGGTTCGCAAAGCGGCTTTCCTATGGCCGATCTTCGCTAGACAACGACGATTCTTCCCCACTGGAACGCATTAAACAGGTTTCAATGCATTCCAGTGGGGAAATGCTTTTCGCTAGACGATGATTTCGCTAAACAGCGATTTCAGTGTAACGGATTATCATCGTCTGGCGAGGCACCACTGTATGTGCAAGGCAGCCGACTCTTCTGACAAATTATTTAGACGGAAGGCAAATGCCAAAAATTCCAGTTCAATTGCAGCCACGCTCTTATCGGGCTTCCTTTGAATGACTGAGTAATGAAGCTGTTGCTTTGCAAATTGTTATTCCGCAGAAAAGCTGTCGTATTCCCACACAGCCCGGAAAATTAACAAGCTCTGCTGCGAAGCGAGAGGGGGAATGATTGTAAATCTTGATGCTTAACAAACAGCGCCTCTCGTCTTGACTCCTGTGCTCCAGAGCAGTCTTGTTAGAATTCTGTAGGACTCAGCTAAAGAGGAAGGATGTGCCAGATGTGTATGTTCCCGGTATAAATTGTAATTTCTAATTTCCCCCAGACTTCTGTTCCCAGACTGAACGTAGGAATAGATGTTAGTTATAAAGTGGGAGCAGCCTTCTTCGAGGTGTGCTGCGGCTTGGAAATCCTTACTTTTCTGGAAAATTGAATGCATTTTCTGAAAGAAAAACAAAGCACATATGTGCATTTATGAATAACCGAGACTGCTGGAAAGATAAACACGAGGGTCCTGAGTCAAATCAAGCCTGAATTATCTCTGGAGGCAAAAAAATGCTGACACTGAGGCTTGTCCTATTTTGGACCTATCCTGAGAAGGCGGGATTGTCTGGAAAAGGCCATCACGCTGGGAAAGGTATAGGGCAGCAGGAAAAGAGGAAAACAAAACATGAGATGAACTGACTCCCTAAACGAAGCCACAGGCTTGAGTTTGCAAGAGCTGAGCAGGGGCTGCTGAGGACAGGACAATTTGGGAGATCGCTCATTCATAGGGTCGCCATGAGTCAGAGGTGACTTGAGAGCATGCCACCCCAAAATATTTCGTGATTTCCTCCTTCTCATTGATTCCAGTTGTGTTGATGGAACATCTCAAAAAGCTCCCACGACAAGGCGCCATTGTGCAAATGGTTCAACGGAACTGGCCCCCCAGCCCTGGCATTCTTCCACAACTAGCCTAAGGGACTCATTGCCTCCAGACAAAGCGGCGAACACTACCTCGCTTAGAAAGAAGAAGAAAGAGCAGATTTATTGGCATGCACAAAATACAAATCTCCCTCTGACTCGCACCCCGAATCTTACCAGGGAGAGGTACAATGGCGGTAAAAGGCCTCTGAGTACCGGAGGCAAGGAACAAAAGGGAACCCAATCGATTTCGTGGCTCGATCGTGAGTTCCCGTTAGACCCCTGCTTGCTCTTCTGGAAACATGTCCCAAAGCCTGACCTTGTGGTGGACAGGTTGGATTTGCTTGGACAAGGCGATTCTTATGTCCGTTGACTCTGTGCTGTTCAAACACTCTACATCTCTTACATAACTTTAAGTAGACTGAATGTTTCTCCTTGTTGCCGAATGTTTCTTTCTACTGCTTTTAGCTTCTGAACAAGTGGAGAGCTTTCTTGACGGCCCGCCCCTTGCCGCTTTTGATCACGCTCCTTCAACAGAGTTCTTGGCGTCCGTGAGCTTTCTCCCTGTTCTTCCCTCGTCAAGCCTTTTCTTCCCCAGACTTTCTTCTGTCAAGTTCTTTTTCATGGCTCGGCTGCTCCAGCTGGGCCTTTACTTCAAACATGGCTGGGTTTCTGTGTGAAGACTTGCCATGTCTACCCCCTGTTCCCATCTTTGCCCACTTTGACATGATCTGAGGGGCTTTCACTGCCGAAAAGGGTCTTCCTGGGTTCACAGCTTGGCGGCTGTGATATTCTTTTTCGCCGACAAGATCACAAGCACGATCGTTCCTTGGAATAAAACTTTGTAAGTTTTGCGTTGATCCAGCAATTCAATAGAAGCACAGCAAAGAAGGCTCATAATTAGAGAGAGGGAGATACTCCTCACCCAAACTTTTGGGCAATTGTGGCCCCAAACGTTCGGTCCAGTATCTGTCCCAGGTGACAAGTGTTGTGAAGGAAAATTAAACATAATGACTTAAGGTTCTTTGATCCTCTGGCAAGAGAAAAATAGGAGAGAACCCATATGGACACCATGAATGTACAAACATGGAAGATAAGTTTATTTAAAAAGATAAATACCATATTTTTCCATGTATAAGACGCCCCCATGTATAAGATGCCCACCACTTTTCTAACCCAAAATTAAGAAATCTAAGTGGGGTTTAGCAAGTGTAGGGGGAAAGGGATCAAAGTGCTGCAAGATCACTTTGATCCCTGCTTTCTCCCTTTGTGTTAAGCACCGCGGGGCTCAGCAAAAGGAGGGGGAAGGGATCAAAGCAATCCTGCAACTGCACGATCGTTTTGATCCCCTTCCGCCTTATACAGCCACAGGATTGCTTTGATTCTTTTCCCCCTCCTATTGTTAAGCCCCATGGGACTTAGCAAGCAGAGGGGAAAGCAGGGATCAAATTGTTCCTGCAGCGCTTTGATCCCTGCTTTCCTTTTGCTAAGGATTAGCAAGTGGAGGATCAAAGCCCTACAGGAACAATTTGATACTTGCTTTCCCCTCCTCAGTTTACTTCCGTGTATAAGACGACCCTCAATTTTTAGTCTAAAAATTTTAGTCAAAAGTATAGTCTTATACACAGAAAAAAATGGTAGTCTTATAAGATGGAATGCTAGTGGCCTGGTACCATAATACAAGCAACTCAAGTGATACAGAAGTACCTACATATTTTATAGGGTTCTCCCTGAAACAAAGCTTTCAAGGAGATCTAATGGTGACAGCAGAACGAAACATTCTGGGTTTTCCGTAAGCATCCTGAGACCTTAGAGTTACATATGTGTTCTTGCATTGTTATTGTTATTTCGAGGCAGCAGGAGAATCGCCTTGATCCCCCGTTGAAATGCTGACATAGCTCTTTTTTTAGAAGATTTTACGGCTTCCCTTTGCCAGCCTTTAGGCTCCGATTCTAGGTCGGGATGTTCCCACATCCTTGCCACGTTGCTCGTGCCGTAGACTTTGTGCTTTTATCTCTTAGCATAGGAGAAAGAAATATTTCTCCAAAGCTACAATACTCTATGCTTTAGGAGGCCATTCTTTCCGAAGGCGTGGCTTCTGCATTTCTGGAGCTAATAAGGCTTAATAAAGAGATACATTATGGGAAAGAAAAGGGGATCAATATTCTTCTGATTTTCTTAACAAAAGGGCCGATGAACCTTGAGGTTCTCACTAAACACAAACACGTAAGACGTGTCTTTTAATTTTCCCCAGTTTTTTCCCACTGTAGAGCGCTCGGTTTCCAATGGCATGTTTTGCATCTGAGTGCATTTTTAAAAAATCAATAAGCAAATCTTTAAAAGGGGGATGGAGTGATCCCAGCAGCTCAAACAAAAGGGCCGATGAACCTTGAGGTTCTCCGTAAACACAAACACGTACGATGCATCTTTTAATTTTTCCCAGTTTTTTCCCACTGTAGAGTGCTCGGTTTCCAACGGCATGTTTTGCATCTGAGTGCATTTTTAAAAAATCAATAAGCAAATCTTTAAAAGGGGGATGGAGTGATCCCAGCAGCTCAAGTGGGTGGCTTCAGTTTCATGGGGGCAGTTCAGAAAGGAGTTGGCCCTGGGTCGTTCAACCACACACGGTGTCTGTGTTGTGAACATTTATGAAAAGATTTCGGGGAAGCAATGCTTGCTGCTCTTTCTCTGCCCCTCCCTTGCCCAAAAGCCATTTCTGGTCCCACAGCGAAACCTCCGAAATACTTAACATGTTCCCAGGAAAAAAAATTCTTCTTCTAGGTCAACCCCTGTGTGTTTTCTTTTCTAGGTCAACTTCTGCATCCTCATAGCAGTGACCAGAGTTATCTCGAGAATAAGTGGTGAAAACTACAGGGTGCGTGGAGACGCGAATGCATTCAAGTAAGCCTTCTGGTTTATACTGCCTTATTATCCCAAGACGGTTTATACTGCCTTATTATCCCAAAACATTGCTTTTTTTAAAAGAGTCTGGCTCATAACAGAGTATCCAGAAAGGTGAACGGTTGCACTTTAAAAAAAATCCAAAGTAAGCTTCTAGACCTCATGATTTTCATCAAATAGAAAATGTACCGGGTGGAACGGTCCTTCTGAGTTAAATTCTTTGGCTAATCCAAAATGGAAAGCCCACACTATGTGGACCACAGAGAGCAGAGATGTGAATGTTTCCTTTGTTGAAGGAGGACGACCACAGTTCTGCCACTGCCTGTGGAATTCTGGGAAATGTGCTTTGTAAATTAAAAAAATAATAATCTGATTTTGGGATAGGGAACCTTGTAAAGGGACAGGCCCCCAATGTGTAATTTTTTTTCTTGCTGAACATTGGAATCAAGATTGTCAGGGATAGTCTAAATGGGATAAAATTACTAGGTATAAACTCAATGGGGAAAAGTTGAATTAAGTCTTCTAGAGGCTGGGTGGCTCTATGATTTCGGAATCTGTCTGCGTAGCCAGAGGTTAGGAATTTGATTCTCCCAGGAGAAGAGCCAGCCTGGGTAGCCTTGGGCCAGCTGCAGAAGGGAATGATGCCCCCAGTAGAAGGGAATGGCCAACCATTTTTGAATGCTGTCTACCTGGAAAACGCTGAAGAAGGGTCGCCGTAAGTCAATTATTGGCTGGTTGCTAAGTGGATTAGGTCTCTGGCTGTGGATCCAGAGGTTGGGAGTTTGATTCCCCCACTGCGCCTCACAAGGGAAAAGCCAGCCTGGGTAGCCTTGGGCCAGCTGCACAGTCCCAAGGCTGCCCCCTAGAGGAAGGGAATGGGAAACCACTTCTGAGGATTCTCTACCTGGAAAACCCCGGAAAAGGGTTGCCACAAGTCAGAGCATGATTATTATGATTATAACTGAGAAGTGGGCAACAAACTGAAGGGAGAAATATAAACACCACCCAGGTGGTGTGCCTGTATTACCCAAGCCTGTTTTGGGATTTAATGACAAGCTACAAAATTTGTATCAAGACGGATTTTACTATGTGCATCATGATTCCAGGTGGCAAAGACACCTCTCTCTCTCTCTCTCTGTCTCTCTCTCACACACTCTCTGTTGTTTTGCTGGGGTGTGTTCAGAAACCATGGAGATGAGGGCTCTCTCTCTCTCTCTCTTTCTCTCACTCTCTGTTGTTTTGCTGGGGTGTTTAGAAACCATGGAGATGAGGTCCGTTGGCAGCCGGGATGAGGATTTTGCTGAAGGGGAATTGCTTTTCTTGGCAGCTGGCAATAACAAGTGGAGGTAGCTGTTGTTACTAATTGCTATGGATGTTCCCCTACAGCCCAGGGGAAGCCCAGCCTGTGGCCCCAGTTTAATGGGGTCAGGAGGACCTAAGCCGGGCCATATACCGGTGGAATGAAGTGCACATTTGCACATTTGGTGACTCTTTTAGCAGATCTTCACAAAACTCAGTGTGAATACTTTTTTTTTAAAAGCAGAAAATGGAAATCTCTACAAAAGGAGTGCTGACGTTTATTCTGATTTTGAGCTTCCATTCAGCTGGATGGTGGATCATCTCGGTCGTGTAATGAACTGCTGGATTGCTCAGTGGTTTAGGTCTCTGCCTGCAGAGCCAAAGATTGGGGGTTCAGTTCCCCCGTTGCGCTTCCTTGACAGGGACCAGACGTGATGATCTATAGGGTCCCTTCTTGTTCTGCAGGTCTAAGATTCTAAGTTTGCTTTTATGAATGAACTCCTCTGAGACGTTCAGTTGCCTTCCCCCCAGTCACCAACTGGGAAAAAGAACCATGAACCAGTTCGTTTTTCTGGTGGTTTGCGGGTGGTTCGTGGGTAGCCACGAACTACGAACCATCACGAACCAACCGTTTTCCAGTTCTGTGCCCATCTCAACGCACAACTTCATACAAGACAAGAGTGAAGGGAAATGCAGGTAAGATCTGGAGGAATGCAAAGAAATCCAGTTGAAGATAATAACCTGTTTAGGAGCCTGCTGTGCGGGCTTGTCGTCAGAATTCCGTTCATTTCCAAATGTCGTGAGGATGGTGGGTTTTTTTTGTTTGTTTTTTTGAGGGATCACAGCAAGTAGACTAAAGATTTGGTCCATCCAGATGCAGCCGATCTACCTGGCCCTCATAGGTGAGTCCATGACGAAGGGTGGGGAGAATCGAATTGGCACAAATCAATTCCACGCCATAAAGATGGCAGATGGGGGGGGGGAATTAGTTGATAGGTAGATCCCTGTTCTGGAAGGAAGGGAGACATCTCTCCCAGAAAAACACTTCAAGAATTGTAGGGAAATCATTGCTATTCTCACCCTCGTGGTCCCCGCTGTCGTCCTGTTTTTATCCTGCTCTTAGAACAGCCTTCTGTCCTATAATTGCATCGCGGAAAAAGTCGCACGTTAAAAATGAACAAATGGGATGACACAGAAGGAAAGGGGGTAGTGATTTGCTTCTTGCTTTCACGTTTGAGAACAAGGCAATGGAGGATTCACTGCTTTAAGATCCCATTGGGGGCTGAGGGTTTCTTGTTCTGTTTTCGTGCCTGAGGGGCTGTGTGAGGAAATGTCAGCTCATCAACAAAATTCGGAACGGATGGAGCCTTTGGGCTCGTTGTTCTTTCTCTCTGATGGAGTAACTGAGACCACGAAAGAGGTTGGATTCTGGATGCCCTTTGGGTTTGGGGTCCAAAGGGGTTTGTGGGGGTGTGTGCATCCTGCCTCAGAAGCAAGACCTTGAACGGAGCATATGAAGCCGTGGTCATTAGCCAGCCGGAAAGCTCATTGTTGTTGATAATGTCTTCCAGCTAATTAAATTCTTGGCTCATTGGAGGTGATAAAATACTCACGCTGGTTGGGTCACAGTTTATTAGCCTTGAGTGAGGGGAGACCTCAGAAGAAGCCAGGAAAGACACACACACACACACACACACACACAGAGAGAGAGAGAGAGAGAGAGAGAGAGAGAGAGAGAGGAGAAAAGACAGAAGGGTGGACAGAGATAACCAGTCGGTGGCTGAGATGACAAATGGAATGGAGTCTCTCGGGAAAGGGTATGGCTGGCATAGAATACCAGTCGGTGGCTGAGATGACAAATGGAATCTCTTGGGAAAGGGTATGGCTGGCATAGAATCACAGAATAATTGAGTTGGAAGGGGCCTATAAGGCCATCAAGTCCCACCCCCTGCTCAAGGCAGGAATCCACATTCAAGCAGATCTGACAGACGGTGGTCCAATTTTTTCTTGAATGCCTCCAGTGTTGGAGTGCTCACGATCTCCAGAGATTATGGGTTCCATTGTCGGACTGCTCTGCTTGAATGCCTCCAGGGTTGGAGCGCTCAGGACCTCCAGAGATCATGAGTTCCATTGTTGGACTGCTCTGACAGTTAAGAAGTTTTTCCCCCCTGATATTCAGGCCAAATCTGGTTTCCTGTAGCTTGAGCCCATTATTATGTATCCCGCATTCTGGGATAATGGAGGGTAGGTCCTGCCCCTCCTCTCTAGGACTGCCTTTCAAATATTTGGAGACTGCTCTCAGATCTCCCTGCAGTCCGAATCCGAATAGGGTGCACTCAGATAATGTGTTACAGATATCACCAAAATTAGGCTATCCGAAACACATTTTCTCTTAGCTGCATTACTGTAGGAGGATTTATAAAGGAACAAATCTGTTCCATGTATCTTGCTGGGTGGGAGTTCAGGAACCATGAAGCTTGACTGGCTGGAATTTCAGGGCGGGGAGGAATGATTTCAAATTTTATTTCATTTAATCAGACCTGGCTGGATAGCTCAGTGGTTCAGGTATCTGACTGTGCAGCCAAAGGTTGGGAGTTCGATTCCCCCACTGGGCCTCCTGGGAGAAGAGCCAGCCTGGGGAGCCTTGGGCAAGCTGCACAGTCCCAGGGCTCCCCCTAGAGGAAGGGAACGGTAAACCACTTTTGTGTATTCTGCACACAAGGTTTTCTATGTACAGAATGTGTACAGTGTTCTGTACATAGAAAACCTTGGAAAGGTTTGCCATAATTCAGAATTTAGTTGACAGCACATCATCATCACCATCATTTAAATGAAATCACAGGTGGTTAATAAAGTACTCTGCTGATAGTCAAGGAATTCCTTCATATAGAACGGCAAGACGAGCCGACTTCCTTCCCTTCCTTCCTTCCTTCCTTCCTTCCTTCCTTCCTTCCTTCCTTCCTTCCTTCATCCAGAACCAACCATCGTCATTCAGTATTCAGGACAGGTAACCAGAGGAAGTGGTGATAATATTTGGGAGCAAAATTTGCTGCTTATGAATATTAATGCAGGCAAATTATATGATTTATTCAGATCCGTTGAACTCCAAATAATCTCTGCCACATCTCAGGGTGAACTGGTTTGATGACCTTTTTTGGCACGGTAGGAAAGCTAATCAGACATAGACATATACCTGTGGATTTATGTCCATCTTGGACTTGCATCCTTTCAAGGAGAAAGATGGGGTGGAAATATTTTAAATATTAAATCAATCAATCAATCATATACTGCTTTCCTGCAGTACATATATTACTCAAAGTAATATAAACCACAAGGTGAATGCAATTAAAAACAAAAATAATATTACACAAGCAGTAAGCAGCTTTTAAAATGAATTAAATTAGAAGCCCAGTTAAAAAGATTTTAAAAAACATAATTAAAAGGACAACACTGAGAGAAGAGACACACTCCAAATGGTAACAACATCTCAGCTCCATCCTCAATGTCTATGAAATTACCAAAAGTCCATTTGAATAAAGAGGTCTTAACCTGAATCTTAACTGTATCCCAACCCTTTTGTCACTGCCATTTTTTTCATCTGTGACTCACTTGTAGTGACAACTGGAAGTCACCAGATGGCGGTGATTTTGCATTATTTTTAAAGCTAAAGCACAGATAGCATGTCACTAGTTTGCTGTTTA